GAGACTGGTACTCAGTGATTAATCTTGCAAATGCCTTTTTCTCAATCCCAATCTCAGAAAAGAGCCAGATGTAGTTTGCTTTCATGTGGGAGGCATCTCAATTTACTTTCACTGTATTGCCACAGGGTTATTTGTATTCACCAGCTTACTGTCATAGTTGGACTTGCTGCAGATCTCAAATGTAATGATACATTATATTGATGATATGTTAATATCAAACACTGAAGAACAGGCTAGGGCTGATCTGAATACAGTGGTGGCCCACAGGACCAACAGAGACTGGTTAATATATCCAGCAAAAATTCAGGGCCCTACCCAAATGGTGAAATACTTGGGAGTAACTTGGGCAGGAGCCACCCACGACATTTCACAGGCAACCACCACCCACGACATTCCACAGGCAACCAAGAAGTTGCTGTTGCTACATATTCCAAGACTAAGCAGGAGGCTTAATGTTTGGTTGGTCTATTTGGATTTTGGAGAACGCATATTCCACATTTGTGAATATTGCTGGCTCCCATCCATAAAACCACTAGGAAGAAAACTGCATTCAAATGGGGGCCAGAGCAACAGCAAGTGGTCTTTTTTTAAAGAAAGTGGTCTCACTCTCCTTGCCTTTAGGCCCTTATGATCCACACTCAGACAGGATTTTGGAGGTATCTGCCACATGTGCTTATGCAGACTGGAGCTTATAGCAAAAACCCGAAATGCTGTCTTATGGTAACCATTGGGATTCTGGACTAGAAAGTTTCCAGATACTGCAGCATGATACATGCCATTTGAAAGGTAATTTCTCACCTGATATTGGGTGTTGATTGAGACTGAGACAGAAGGACATAAAATCATTGTGAGACCTGAAATACTCATAATGTCTTGGGTGATGTCAGAGAAACACTCTAATACGGAAAGTGTTGCCCAAAATATCTCCATAATAAAATGGAAATGGTTCATACAAGAACAAGCAACTGGGAGAATGCAGGGAGGTACCCACCATGTCCATGAGCAGGTAGCCTTTTTTCCCATAGATCCTACCCTGGAACCACTTGAGAAGCTACCAGAGCTCAATGCCACATGGACAGTGCCCTATGAACTTTCTGCTGGCCAGCAGAAGGCTGCTTGTTTCACAGATAGCAGTTCCAGGGTATGTAGACAACATCTCATGTGGTAAGCTGCTGCATTAAGACCAGCAGATGGAAAGACCCTGACTGAAGAAGGTAAGAACAGGTCAGCTGAGCTGCATGCTGTCTTCCTAGCCATGATGGAAGAATTAGGCAATAGTGAGAGCCCATATACTTGGGTTTTTACTGATTCATCGGCAATGGCCAACAGCCTGGCTATATGGTCAGGCAAATGGGTGATAAAAAATTGGACTATTAAGGAGACATCTTTTGGGGCATGAACCTATGGAAAGCACTCTGGGGGTTTAGAGGGTGCATTAGAATAGGACATGTTGATGCCCATCAGAAGAACACCCTTCCTGGATGAGAAGGTGATTAGAATGAGTAAGTGGACCTGTTAGTATGCTCACTTGAGGTGGTCAATTGGGTCCATGAAATGAGCAGACATGGGGGTGATGCAGCAATGCAGAGCCAGCTGAATCTAGACACATCCCTCTTGGATACTCTGAGACACAAACTGCCAATAAGGACTGCTCTGTTTGCCAGCAAAAAAGACAGAGGTTGCAGATGGTTATTGGGTAGATTCCCCAGGGGGAAGGGCCTGTACACAGCTGGCAAGTTGATTATACTGGACCAATGATGCTGGTGGCACAGGGTGGCTACAAATGGGTTCTCACAGGAATAGATACTTACTCTGGACTGGGCTTTGCATGTCCCGACAGAAGCTAATGCCAAAAACACCATTAAGGGATCAGAACAAAAGATACCGTGCTAATTTGGGCCACTGAATTATATTTCATCAGACCAAGGAACACACTTTACAGCCCACAAGGTGCAGCAATGGGCCAAGAAACAATATATTAAACGGATATACCGTACTGCATACATACCGCCCTCAGAGTAATGGTTTGATAGAGAATTGGAATGGGCAATTGGAATATTTGTTATCTAAAATAGGGGTAGATAAAGGCATGAAGGGCTGGCTCACACACCTTCATGAGTGTGTGCTCACACTCAACATGAGAAAGGCAAAGGGAGGATTACCACTGGACAGATTTCTAAGCTTCTCTGGTAGATCTGGGGAAGAGGGAGCAGGGGAGGATGTGGGTGCCACCGTACAGTTCTTTCCCCACATCACCTAAAACTGTTTTTTTTCCTGACAGATGCTGCAATCTCAGGACCAGGGATGCAGCTCCAGGTGCCGGAAGCAGGGGTGATCCCTAAGCAAGAGACTGTAACTATACCCCTAAACGTATATGCCAGAATTCCCAAGGGCCTGATGAGATGGATTATACCTTCCCCCCATCTGGAAAAATTGGGGTTGACAGTGAATACTGCTGTACTGCCTAGTGGTTCAGATAGCTCACTAGTGTACCTATGTAACCCTACCCAACACGAATGGGAGTGGACTGAGGGGGAAGCACTTGCTAGACTTGTCTTGCTACCAGCAATCTGGAATGGCACAGCAGCTGAATCTGATGTCCCTTCCCAAGGTGGAAAAGTTTGGATAAAAATAAATGACAAATGGAAGGAAGGAGAAATAATAGCTGAAGGTAAAGGAATGAATAAATAGGCTATGCAGCAGGGGAAATCTAACATTATGCTGATACCTTGAGTCAGAGGCCAGAGAGAGTGAAGCTGAGACGACTTTTGGAGAACCTGACCAGATCAGATGGATATCTGCAGTAGACCTGAATGGCTGGTACCTGAGTAACCTCCCCTGAGGACTGTTTGCCCTACTGAAGGATTGTTAATGACTGTTTTGGACTGGTAAAATGATTGAGAGGGAGAAGTTAATCCTTCAAGTATGAAAGAGCCAATGGCTAGAAGAGCGAGGGGGTGGCCTGGATGCAGTCAGTTACTTAATATGGCCCTTCTAGCCATAGTCTCTGTAACTTCCACCAAATGGCTGTGTGGGACTATGAAGATGAGGTGCTTGTGGCCCACCAAGCAGACTGGGTAGCTTGCTAATAATGTAAATAAGGTGCATAGCACTGTTGTGAGGGTGGGACCATGCAAATAAGGTGTATGGAACCCTAACAAGGGGATTGGTCAGTTTTGCAATCCTGCCAGGCTTAAAGGGAGACAACGGGGGTGGGGGGATAGGAGATATAACACAGAAGACAGTGAGAGACAGCAGGAACCAGGAGGCTGGCATGAGACAGCTTCGGTGGGGCTTGCCAACCCATGGAGCTAAGAGGCATAACACTTGCTCAGGAAGGCCCCCAGCAGGGCTCAGCAGCAGAAAGGCCCCCAGCAGGGTCTGGTGGCAGAGGGCGAGAAGCTGTCCTGATTAAGGAACTGCATCCCAAGTTGTACCCTATTACTTCCTTAATAAACGACTTAACTGTAAGTATGGTTCATAAGTTCTGTTAGGGATGATGGAGTGGTACAGCAGTTTGGAAAAACTGGACATTTGGGACATCTTTCACCTCCGCCTCACAGAAACCGGCTCTGTGCTGATCCTTATATTCATTTATATACATAGGGTCACTATGAGTTGAAACTGGCTTGACGGCACCTAACAACATTTGTCATATCCCCCTCCTAGAGACTAAGTTCAGTAAAGGCAGGGCCCGGGCCTGAGCTGTGCCCTACAGCTCCTAGCACATCTTACTGATACACAGAGAAGGCCTGGAAGTGTGGCCTGATGTGGCCAGTCACCCTTTGGGAGACTGCTTCCCCCGACTCCCTCATGCCCAACTAGGGCCTGCCTCAGTCCTGCACCACACTGCCCATCACAAAAGCCTGATATCCAAAGCACTGGCCAGTAACATAGATGGGAGGTGGATGAGAGGGTTTACTGCATGTTTACTGTAAACCTCAACCAAAATTCTCAAAACATGTTCTTTCTCCCAAGTCTCCTCCCTCCAAGGCCCTGCTGCCTGGGATTCGTCTCTCCTCTCCGCCTCTACACGGCCTCTAAAGGCCCCTGGATTGTCCTGAGCAACTGAACTCTTCCCCTCAGCTCGCACTGGCCAGAGCTGGGGACACCCTTTGTTCCTTAAGCCTGCTGCTGTTTATCCCGTGGCCATTCCAGGGTACCTACGCATGTCTCTAACATTCATTAAACGTCTCCACCCGTCTTTTTCAAAGTATGGTCCAGAAACACTTGCATCAGAATCGCCTGGGGTGCTTTATCATGCAGCTTCTGGGACCCATACCTACAGACTCAGACTCTGGGGGCAGGAGAGTGCCCACCAGTGCTTGAGAGTCAGTGTCATACATGGTGCCAGGCATGGTCTGCATGCTTCCCTTTCAACAATACTCAGCAGCCTTCAGTGGGTCCAGGAAAAAGCCCAGATCTTCAGGCATTTGGGCCTGCATCTGTCCTACAAGAGCTGACCTTGACTACCAGGGGTCCTAGTCCTGTAGGCCAAGTCTCCCTAGTTGGTCCCCCCAGGCCTGTGCTCATCCTCCTCCCACTATTCAGAATTGGGCCATCCTCCTGGTCAGCTCAAATCCCACTGGCACTGCTTCAAGTCCCTGGACCGGCACTGTCCCTGAATCACACACACTTCTGCACTGCTTGTTTCATGATAAAAGTGATAAATGTTTCCTGAGTGTATGTATTGTTACCCCAAAGAGATGGCAAGCGTCTATGAACAACACGGCTATCATTCTTTCAGTTTTCCTCAGAGCAGCTAGCAAAGCAGTGTGCCTGACAGTTCTGGGGCTAAGGGAGTGGAGGAGGGTGCCGGAGGAGGTTAGCAGCGGAGACGTGTCCCTGAGAAGCCCTTTGCCCACTGGATGTGTCCATCCTGACAAGGCTCCTCGATGGCGTTCCGTGGAACAGATATGGTTTGGGCAAAGGGATGGAGATAGGCCCACTCTCTGAGAAAGAGATGGCATTTCAAGGGAGCAAAATGAAACTCTGACTCATTTTCCGTATGTTTTTTTTTAATCCAGGCTTTGGTATTCAAAAACTAGACAGCTTTTAAAAGCAACAGATCTAACGTGAGGACGGGCTCACTGATAGATGGTGACAGTACACAAAGGATGCACAGCTTCTCCTCCCCGCCACAGATTCAAACAGTCCCTGAGGTAATGGACAGAGAGGAGAACAGGAACCTGGGAGCCGGGGCCACACCAAAGAGGGTCAGTTGACTCTCCTGCCCTCTAGCCTCAGACCTCACTACTTGAGTAACTAGAAAACCATTCACTGTTGGTATTTTATAAAGGAGAGTGAAGGCTACTGGCAGCTCAGAGGTAAGTTCCTAAAAGAGAACTCTGTAGTTTTCTCTCCATGTCAGACTTGAAAGCACTGCATATATTTTCACTTCTCTCCCATGCTGACATCCTCTGAACACTGTCTTTAGACCCTGGTTTCCAAGACCCGCCAATACTCCACCCCCACTCCAGATTCTCTCCCATTGCTCTCCAGTTAAGTAGGTGGAGACTGCCTTTTCATTTTGTAACTTCAATTCTCCCACTTAGGAAGAGAGGAGCCCCTACTCTACCAACTTAGAACTTCTACCCTTCCTGGAATTCTCTTGAATAAACAAACGTTGTAAAGGAATGGAAAATGTTAAAAACAACAACAAGCAAAGGAGGTATGTATGCTGTGGAAGAGAACCATTAAATATCATGTCTCAGAGACAAATGTTAAGGTCTCAGGTCTTATTCAGGTGCGTTGTGCATTTTTGGAAAGCAGCAGCTGAGGTACTCAGGAACCAGAAGATCTACCAGTTGATCTCTGGAGTAAAATATAGTTGTGATCGTAGGGTCAGATAAATTTCTCTCTTCCTGTCATGGGTCCAGGTTCTTGTTCCAGAAAAGGAGAGATGAAAGCACTGCCATGCTAAAGACTAGGAATATTTTAATTCATATGTTTTAATTACATTATGTAATAATAATATCACAGTCTATTTTACAAGTCAAATGTAGAGAATGTATGAAACAGAAATGGTGGGGAAAAAACTAAACATGGGTCAGGGACATGAATTTTTCCAAAACCAGGGATAAAGGAAGGTGTGTAGCCAGCCTGCAGGGCCCAAGGGGGAGGCAGGGGCAGGACAGGATTGGTTCGTGGGATGTGTTTGCTCCCCCGTGTTTGCACAAGCCAGGGGTCGAGGCACCACTCCCTGACCTGGTCTGGGGCTGGATGTTTAGTCTGGTCAGTGGAAGACGGCTGTTTGGGAGAAAAAAGCCATCTGGTTACCTACATGGAGCTGGTCCCCTGGGGGCCACAGGTGGTTTTCGCCATAGAGGGAATTAGGGATGGAAGTGTCAAAAATCGAATGTGCGGAGGAAAAAAGTAAACAGTTTCCTCCTCCCCACAAAAACCCAAACTCTTGAAATGCACACACTCTTCTCTCAAACGTAGAAAAGTCTCACTCTGGATGTGCTCACAAGAAGATCATCGTCAAAAAATTTTGTTTCTATGATAACGTTCCCACTGTAAGTAAGAAGAGAAACAGAGAGGGCAAAAGAAAGAGGGTGTCAGGCAACGAGACTGCATTTCCACAACGTGGTTTCTATCTGAGTTTGCTGGGCCCATGGATACACACCCGCCTAGATCTGCGGCTTGGGGACATTAAAATCTGACTCCATGTGGGGTTAGATGTTAACATGACATTTAATTGATAAATGTGACTAGGCCTGTCCTCCTCAAGTCAGGAATCAGAAGAGAGAGCATGTCTTCATTCCTGGGTACACCCTAAAGCCCTTAGTAGAGTGCTCTGCACACAGGTGCTCGATAAACACGACTGACTTTCTGATATCCCATTCGAGGACACGCCTGCTGGATTACACACAGCAACCTGCAGACGTGGTGGCGTGGTGGGATTCCCCCATCACACCTACCATACCTACCACAGTGGACAGCTGTGGACTGGCCTCCCTGTCCTGCATCTGTTCTCCTTTCTTTGGGTAACAACACTCTGCTCTTCACTTGAGGAGCCATCCTTCCGCTAGTCCATGGGTCAATCAAGTGCGCCCTCCCTCACCTGGCAAAGGGGTGGGCACAGGATGTAATGTGGGCCAATCAAACTCTCTCTGAGCAGGATCCTTCCTGTGGCAGCTCCTTGAAGAAATTATCCCAGGATTCCTGGCACCTGCATCTCCCAAGCTGCCCGCAGTCTCACCCTCACTCCTTCAACTCTGTTTTGTTCACATTAGCCAGAGTCTGTTTCTATGGCTTGTAACCAAAAATCTCTAAACGATACACCGGCATTGGCAGGCTAATGCAGGCAGAGAGAGGGTAAGTGGGATCTTGGCGGGTGGGTACTTGGTACTCTCATCTGTAAAATGGGAGAGACCTTAACCTCTTGAGCTCAGTTAAAGCAACGTAGGTATTCTTTTCTGAGGTTCTAAAAAGTGAGATATGGCTTAAATAACCTAAATACGTTATCATAGGCTTACTGGTTTTAGTACCTGAAAGAAATTAGGCCTGGCCAAGCAGAAGTCAAATGAAGGTTAATAAAATCTTAAAAAATGCTCTTCTATACTACACTGAGGAAACCCTGGTGGTGTAGTGGTTAAGAGCTACAGCTGCTAACCAAAAGGTCAGTAGTTCGAATCCACTAGGCACTTCTTGGAAACCCTATAGGGCAGTTCTACTGTGTCCTGTAGGGTCACTATGAGTTGGTATCGACTCGACAGCAATGAGTCTGGTTTTTTTGATTCTACTACACCGTGGAGCCCTCGTGGCGCAGTGGTTAAGAGCTACAGCTGTTAACCAAAAGGGCAGCAGTTCAAATCCAGGAGCTACTCCTTGGAAAGTCTATGGGGCAGTTCTACTCTGTCCTATGAGTCACTATGAGTTGGAATCAACTCGAAAGCAGTGCGTTTATGCTACACTGTACTTTCCCAGGGTAATTAATAACCAGCAGATACATTAATTAATCATGAAACAGGTAAATCAGGTACTCAAAATCTAACTAGCTGATTGTTGTTATTAGCTGCTGTTGAGTTGGCTCTGACTCATGGCAACTTTCTGTATAATAGACCAAAATATTGCCTGGTCCTGCACCTTCTTTGTGATTGTTGGTATGTTTGACTCCACTGTTTGGCTACCGTGTCAATTCATCTCACTGAGGGTTTCCCTTGTCAGAACATAAAAACACCTACTATTGTAATTAAATATGTATTAAATAAAAAACTATTGACTTAAAAACTAAATAATTTCTGTTTACAAATCCAGTGTGGCTTTCATAAAGGATCTTTTTAAAGACTATCCAATATTACATCATTATCTGTGCAAATAACTCTTCTGTAGGCACTATTACAAAAACATTTGAAAGACTAACACGTTTTTCCAAGAGAAAACGTAGGTGGGAAGTTATTGACAATATTTTTGGACAAAGGACAAACTAATTGTTCTTTGAGCAGGAAGCATAGACATTAAAATGGTTAGTTATTTTCTGAAACACTGTAACCAAATATCATCCTCCAAAACAGAATTAGGACTTGCCAGATTCTGTTAAAGGCAACCCAAAGTCCAGGGGTTCCAGAAGTACGGTCATCAGGTAAGGAGCAAATTAGCGTATTTTTGATACATATATGCCAGATTCTTCCCACATCACCTCATTTAATAGAGAGAACTATTAATTCTAAGTTTAGAGATGAGAAGACTAAGGCTTCGAGAACTATATTGCCCAAGATGACATCTACGGTGAAATAGGAATTTAAAATCTGGTCTAAGCTAAAGTGTTTGATTCTTCCCACTCTAGCATACTGACTTTTCCATACGATAAAAGTCAGTACCCTGCAGAGTAGGATACCCCTGGATACTCTTTTACCCCATTCCTCAACCCAGGTCCCTGCGGCTGAGCGGGATGGAGAGGCCCACCTGGCCTCATTTTTAGACATGCTCCACAATTTCCTGAGACCTGCTCACTCACGTTAAGACGCTCGCTGGCATCATCTGGGACTCAGGTGCTGCCTCTATCAAGGACTGCCAGGTATTTGTGGAGTTAGGGATCACAAAGCCAAACTCGAAGAACCACTCTGAAGGAAGAAGGAAAAGCCGGCGTGAGCAGGAGCCTCAGGATAAAGCGGAAGGGCTCTTTGTGCCCCTCCTTTGGAGTGAGCCTCTTCTTACCTAGGTTGAGAGGCACTAAAGGAACCTATCAGAAACCTCCCAGACCAGAGACATCAAAAAGGGCACGGACGCCCCCTTCAGGCTGTACTCTGAACCACACCAGAGGCTTGGTTCTTGTGCTTTGGGGTCTGACGGACTAGGACAGTGGGCAGGATACAGGGTAAGCAACATTTTCTTAGAAGCCGGCTGGGTGTAAATTATAAACAGCAGTAAAGAATAGTTCTTTTTCACCTCGTATTTTAGCTCTAAAATACAGACGTGCACTCTCAGACTTTACGGCCTTGCTAGTCAAATATGTACAATACTGTATGTAGAGCACTGTACTAGGCCCTGATCACAGCAGCCTCCTCCACAACCACATATAACACGCCAGTGACAATGTCCAGGCTCATGTGCGACAGAAACCCTTTCGTGGAGGGGCTCACAGCATCTTGTGTTGCCAGCTTTGTTTTGTTTCTTCTCACTGGGGGGCCCCTAATCTTGCAGGCTGTAGGAATGTTATTCCAATCTGAGTTGTAAAATGAATGGTATCAAAGCACTGCTTTGGTTCGCTGGGTCCTGCCTTTTGTCCCCGCCACCCTAAGCCGCGACTTTCGGCATACTGGCAGCAGAATACCTTCTAGGCATTGCCCTTTGAAGTAAACTTTTTGTTCCAGGCGGAACTTTTCCATTTGTTCTGCTGAAGAGAAGTTCAACTCTCGAGACACTGCCTTGCACTTGAGGATTTTCTTGGGAACACGGGCTGTAAGAGCAAAGTAAATATTGAAGCCATTCTCAGTGAAAACCACATGACCAAGGTGCTTAATGTTTCTGGGAGCTTCTTGCCAGCTGATTTAGAGAACACATCCTATATGTTAAATCTCTGTCTAAATCAGATAATACCTTGGTAACTGTCCTTTACTTTTTAGTTCGAGGCCTGTAACCTATTGCTGTCAAGTCCATTCCAACTTACAGCGACCCTATAAGGACAGAGTAGAACTGCCCCATAGGGTTTCCAAGGAGCGGATGATGGATTTAAACTTCTGACCTTTTGGTTAGTAGCCAACCTCTTACCTACTGTGCCACCAGGGCTCCTAGCTGAAGGCAGAGGTACACAGTTGGTCAGCTATGTTTGACTGAAAGATCCTCAAGGAGCACCAGGTCTGGGGTATCTAAGGGCCTCACCAAGCCTCTTTCATCAGGAAGGGGGTCAAACTGGTACCCTTTCTCTGCTCTATTCTGTTGGTTTTAACCTCTTACTTTTTCTGTTCCTTCAGGGAGATAAATGTGCAAATTTTCTTTTGGGAAAAAAAACAAGTTGACATCTTAGTTTTTATCTTTGGGTAGGGACTAACGCTAAAATTTTAGCACAAAGTGAGTTTTGGGAAGTGGGAGAAAGAAACATAAGGAAGGAACTAGAAATATAAGCAGCTTGTGAGTGTAGGTGCTGTGCCTTCAGGGCTTCACCTACCATCAGGTCTGCACTAATGATGCCCAGGCCCTGCTCTGGCATTGGTCACGCCCCTGAGCAGACAAAGGATTGGAAAGTACCTTCATGCTCCACTCCAGGGATGGACAGGTCTTCTGTTCCTTGCCAGAGTACCTTCCCTGTCTCAGCATCCCGAAGGTTCATCCAATTTCTGATCAAATATGATTAAAGAAAAATAAGGCACTGAAAGTCACCCCTACTTCTGGGCATCTCACATTTGCTCCTATCAACACTTGTTTACTTTTTAGCAAGTCTGCCAAACTGTTATGTACTATGAAAGCAGATAAGAATGTGAAGGAAAGAATCTAAGGAAAGAAGCAGAGACCTACAGAAGATATTTTAATCTGTAATATAAGAACCCAAAGACTGGGTACACCTAGAAATTACAAGAAAGGGGTAGAAAACTAACAGTGCAGAATTTTAAATTCCATAACAGAATCTGATCAACCAAGATAAAAGACCTAAAGAAACAGATAGCAGAGATACCCTAACGAAACAACCCAGGCAGATTACTCTCCAGGGAAGACCATTGTTCAGAAGCTTCATGCACAGGCACAGAGCTTTCAAATAGCTTTTTAGTGCCCTGCTTTTAAATATGAGAAGACAGCCAAGGATCACCAGAAATTCAAAGAAAGCAATTACCAGGAAAGACAGACCAAAACAAACTGAGAGAGAAAAGCAACTCAGAGAAAAAAAAAGAAACTAGAGAAAGATTGTTGTAGTTCCCATCAAGTTGGCTTCGATTCCTGGCAATCTCATGTACAACAGAACAAAACATTGCACATTCCTGCACCATTGTCACCATCATTGGTAAGGCAGAGTCCATTGTTGTAGCTCCTGTATATCTGAAGTGACTTCCAACCTGGGGGCTCATCTTCCAGCACTTTACTGGACAATATTCTGTTGTGATTTATAGGATTTTCAGTGGCTAATTTTCAGAAGTAGATCATCAGGCCTTTCTTCCTAGTCTGTCTTAGTCTGGGAACTCCACTGAAACATGGCCACCATGAGTGACCCTGCTGGTATTTGAAATACTGGCGGCATACCTTCCAGCATCACAGCAACACATAAGGTACCATGGTACAACCAACAGACAGACGAGTGGTAGACAGCAAGATAAAGAGTTTTTAAAAGGAGCATTAAAAAAAAAAAAAAAAGATGTAACCCTTACAGACATTGAATATAATATACAATTGGATTTTATATATTTTGTATGATTCCGATTTTTCTCTGGCTCAAGGTTACAACTTAGGGGGTTGGTCAACTGATACTCCCTTTAGTCAGAAAATGCCTTCTAACTTAAGTAGTTCAATTTTCTACTTTCTGTATTTTTCATTGATACAATCAGTGAGTCAGTGATAGCAATTAAAAAAGGAACTTTCAGAGAACAAAAAAAAAAAAAAACAACTCTTGAAAAAAGTATACATTTTGATAGCAGAACTGAACAACTCAACACAAGGGTTGAGTTGAGGAACAGTCTCAGAAAAACAAAAAGACAACAAGGATAGAAAGTAAGAGAGGAAAGATATAATAACTGCATGACAGTTTAAGAGGTCTAATATCTAACTATCAGGAGTTCTAGAAAGAACAGAGAACAACAGGGAACACCATCAATGAATTAATTCAAGAAAATTTTCCAGATTGAAAAGGTCCAGCAAGTGCCCAAGTCATATCATAGTAAACTTGCAGAACATTGAGGATAAAGAGAAGCTTTCAGGAAGGAAAACAAGCATTCATGTAAATGGTCAAAATCAGCATGGGGAAATAATATCAGAATGGATCAGACTTTCAGCAGGAGCCCTGGAGGATTGAAGAAAACAGAGCAGAACCAAACTGAACCATTCTTGGACAAAACTATCTAAAAAACACTAACTTTCTCATGAAGCAAATGATGATATGCTCCATCAAAATGACAAGGAAACCAAGAAGCAAGAGATCTAAACCAAGAGACAGGCAAAGGGAGTCCCCAGAATGATGGTGAAGGAAGATCCCAAGACAACAGCTCACCAGCAAGCCTGTGGACCGTCCAGGGTCCAGACTGGAGCAGGTCAGAAAGCCCAGAGATATTAATAGAATATCGAATGGGTTTACATTGAAAGGAGATTTTTATAATTAGGGGGAAGTTTGGAGTCAAATTAGTGAGAAGTATAGATGGATTGACATAGTGGCTGCAACAAGGGGCTCAAGCATAACAATGATTGTGAGGATGGCGCAGGACCGGACAGTGTTTCACTCTGTTGTACACAGGGTCACTATGAGTTGGAACCAACTAGATGGCACCTAACAACAACAATAGAAAACCTAAGCAAATGAATTGAAAAAAAGATTATTAACATCAGAGAAAATCAAAAGTGTACTGGAAGGAAAAAGTAGCCACAGTATACTATATGGCTTCATTACAAATAGTGACGACAATTAATAAAAACAAAAACTATGGATCCAATACAATTATACTGGGAGGATAGGGGGATGAGAAAAGTGTGTATGTGTGATCAGGCATGAAATGTTGAGAAAGAACAAAACTGTCATTTTTCCATAGTGGGAAGTCAATAAATAATGCTGAAAACTGAAACATTAAGACGCAGTCCCTGGTGGGAATGTAAAATGGTACAACCACTATGGAAAACGATACGGTACTTCCTTAAAAAGCTAGAAATAGAAATACCATAAGATCCAGCAATCCCACTCCTAGGTATATACCCTAGAGAAATAAGAGCTGTGACACAAATAGACATGCACACTGTCTTACTCATGTAGTGCTGCTACAACAGAAATACGACAAGTGGATGGCTTTAACAAAGAGAAATTTATTCTCTCACAGTCTAGGAGGTTAGAAATCCAAATTCAGGGCGTCAGCTCCAGGGGAAGGCTTTCTCTCTCTGTCGGCTCTGGGGGAAGGTCCTTGTCATCAAACTCCCCCTGGTCTAGGAGCTTTTCAGGGCAGGGACCCCAGGTCCAAAGGACTCCTACTCCTGGCTCTGCTTTCTTGGCGGTATGAGGTCCCCATGTCTCTCTGCTCACTTCTCTCTTTATATCTCAACAGAGATTGACTTAAAACACAACCTCATTTTATAGATTGAGTCCTGCCTCATAAACATAACTGCTGCCAAACCCACCTCATTAACATCATAAAGGTAGGATTAACAACACAGAGGAAAATCACATCAGATGACAAAATGGTGGACAATCACACAATACTGGGAATCATGGACTAGTCAAGTTGACACACATTTTTGGGGGACACAATTCAATCCATTAACACACACCAATGTTCACTGCAGTATTATTTACAATAGCAAAAAGATGGAAACAGCCTAAGTGCCCATCAACAGATGAATGGATAAACAAACTGTGGTATATACATACAACAGAATACTACACAACGTTAAAGCATAACGATGAATCCGAGAAACACCTCACAACATGGATGAAACTTGAGGACATTATGCTGAAATAAGTCAAACACAAAAGGACAAATGTTGTATGAGACCACTATTAAAAAAAGTCAGGAAAAGGTTTTCACACAGACAGAAACATTCTTTGATGTTTACCAGGGATGGGGAGGGAGTAGGGAAAACCATTAACTAGATAGTAGACACGTACTAACTTTGGTGAAGGGAGAGGTAATACACAATATGGAGGAAGTCAGCACAACATAATCAAGGTAAAGGAAGACACTGAAAGGTACACAAGAGTAAAAGGCAACGGTAAATACTAATACATATACAATCCTGCAACAACAGTAATAACAAACAATAATGTACAAGTAGATACACAGGTAGATATGTAAGCTGAACATGGGTGGGAGGGCGTATGGAAGTACTCCCATGTACGTATATAAGTGTACATGCTTTAAATATACTCGTGTACACAATAGTGTGCACAGGGGACACAGACATGAAAACTTCTTAGCCATAACCATACACATCCAGGAACTCAGATACTGGGCTTGAGGGCTATGGACTATAGTCTCGGGGGACATCTAGGTCAATTGGAATATCATAATTCATATAATGTTCTGCGTCCTACCTTGGTGAGTAGCCACTGGGATCCTAAAAACTTGAGAGTGGCCATCTAAGATACAACAATTGATCTCTTACTGTCGGAGCAAAGAAGAGCGAAGAAAACAAAAGACTCAAGGAAACAATCAGTCCAAAAGACTAATGGCCCACATGAACTATAGCCTCCACTAGCATGAGACCAGAACCAGATGGTACCTGGCTACCACTACCCACTGCTCTGACCAGGACCACAATAGTAGGTCATGGACAGAGTGGGAGAGAAATACAGGACAAAATTCAAACTCATAAATAACACCAGATCTACTGGTCTGATAGAGGCTGGTAGAATCCCCGAGACTAGGGCCCTTAGTCACCCTCAAACTTGGAACTGAAATCACTCCCGGAGATCACATTATTAGCCATATGCTAGGTAGGTCTATAAAATGAGTAACACCAGTGAGGAATGTGTATCTCAGAACAATCAACTATACGAGACCTAAAGGGCGTATTTGCCCAAAAGCAAAGTTCAGAAGGACGTAGTGGCAGGGAAGTGGGCGAATGGACATGGGGAACCCAGGGAGGAAGAGAGGAGAATGCTGACACATTCAGGGGTTTGCAACCAATGTCACAAAACAAGCCACGTATAAATTGTTGAATGGGAAACTAATTTGCTCTATAAACTTTCACCTAAACAACAAAATGTTAAAAAAAAAAAAAAAAAAAGACATAGCCCCAATGTGCTATTTAGAAATATCAAGATAAATACTAAAGAAATCAGTTAAAAAGAATTGAAAATACTTTTTTCTGGGGAGCCAAAAATAGGGATTATAGGTCAGGGAATGCTGCCCTTCATTAGAAACGGAGTAGAACTATGAACTCTTTAAACAAAGTACTTACACAATTTTGATTAAAAAAAAAAAAAGGACTAAATTAAAAAGATATTCCCAAGTTTTTTGTTTTTTAAACAATAGACAAACCATTAAAGGAAAAGAAAATATTAATAAACATGGAGGCTAAGTCTGAGTAAGATGGTTAATATTTGTAAAGAGACTAAGCTTCAGATAAATACAGTTGATATAGTTTACACGCCCTCCTCCCCACTCCAGGCCCCTGCAGCAACCACACCCTCTTCCCAGCAGCACTCTGTGTC